CAGTCATGATAAAATTATTTTGCTAACATTATATAATATGATTGTACATGTTAATGTCATTTATCAATACATGTTTTATAACATTTTTTGTTGTTGAAAAAGTCCATTTAATATACTGTGGAATACAACAAAAGGTGTAATCTTGTGAGTAGATATGATAAAGATAATCTCATAAAATCTGTTTGCATTCAACACAGACATATTGTATGAATAAATGAGAATGATTTTTTCTTATTAATCATTAGGTGTTGTACCTTGGAATTGTTATATATGCTCCGTCTCTTGCGCTGAGCGCTGTATCTGGTTTGAATTTATTCAGCTCAACTCTCACTGTTGGAATTGTATGTACTTTCTACACAGCTATAGTAAGTATAAACGTTGTATAGTTAACGTGATCATTAAAAGTCTGTACTATATAATGTAAGGCACGTAACATATAATTATAGTATTTTTATCAAAAGCGTTATTACACGAAATATTATTGTAATATGGAAAGTTGAATGGTACTATACATATAGTTCACGAATTTTCTCGTGAGTCGGATTGGAAAACCCATATTAATAGTTCTAAATATGAAATGTATCTAAGCATCATCGCGATACAACATTCCATCAGACTAGAGAATTAAAATTGTCCTCAAAACTTAAATGAGATATATAATACAGAAATGTATCAATATTGTTTTAATATCTGTGTCCCTCTGTGCAGGGAGGTATGAAAGCTGTGGTATGGACCGATGTGCTTCAATCTATTATCGTATATGCCGGATTGTTAGCTGTCATCATTAAAGGAACAATCATATTGGGAGGAATCCAGAATGCTTGGCGAATAGCAGAAGAAGGTGGGCGGGTAGAATTTTTAATGTAAGTAGGTTTAAGTATGATACTGGAGATTGTAAAATCGTCTAGGGTGGGGATGGGTTTTGGTTTTACGTAATAGAAGCCATAAAAAGTAGATACTACTTGTTGATATTTATACAAATTTGTCACAGAATTGACGTCGATCCTACGATCAGAAATACGGTATGGTCGCTTACAATTGGATTTACTCTGAATATGATGCCATTAACTGGTGTTAGTCAGCAGGCAGCACAGAGATTCAATAGCTGTAAAAGTGCAAGAGATGGAATAAAGTAAGTTTTGTTATTGAAAATCTGTAGAACACATTCAAACTGAATCATTTATATATTATAGCTTATTTATGATTTTATCACCAATATTTTGTCTTCAGTACAGCAAATGTATATATTATTTATGCATACCTTCAAAACATGAGCTTATATTGATTTACAAGGTTTCAAACTTTTCATATTAACACACCAGCATTTGCATCCAGGTTTTATGACTGGTTGTATGGAGAATAACATAGCAAATATCGTGCACAAGTCGAAGTGTATATAACAAGTGTTGTTGTTTTTCTCAGAGCGATGTATCTCCATCTATTCTTTTCGGAACTTATTGTTATTATTCTCGCATTCTCTGCTATAATTATTTATGCAGTGTATGCCACTTGTTCGCCATTGGCGGAAGGTAAAATATCAAGTCCTGACCAGGTGAGTTCATGGTAGCAGTATATCAATAACCATACAAATATTCTGTTTTTACAAGTCTTCAACTTTACAAAAACTTTAGAGATCTGGTTCTGATCGGGTTTGGAATGCAGGTCATTTTGTAACATGATCAGCATCAAAAATTAATAATTAAACAAATTTAGAGACAGTTTTTGTCGTCTTCGATGCTGAACAGCCAGAGACACATAGAGATAGATATACACTCTGTCATAAATATCAAATTATATGCTTCACTAAATCTTCTGTTGCAGTTGATGCCGTATTTTGTGGTTGAGCACTTTAAACATGTTCCTGGAATAGCTGGACTCTTTATAGCTGCAACATTTAGTGGGACATTGAGGTTAGTCATTATGCATTAACCTCAAACCGTTCAATGTACTGGCTTATAATGGGTGAAAAATGAATGATTGATTTATTATACTGTATTAAACATGTTCTTCGTGTATGTGTCACTGTGTGAAGTCTGTAAGGATCTGCTAATAAATAAGACTGAAACGTGACAATTTCTTCATTTGTCTTAATAAACAGCACACTCTCATCTGGGCTCAATTCGCTGGCAGCTGTGACTTTCGAAGACTTAATGAAAATGTCATCTCGTGTAACAAAACTTTCTGATAGAAAAGCGACAGTTATTCTGAAGATTCTAGGTATGTGCATATATATTCGAAAAATATACACGTTCCTTACAATAATTTCTCATTGTCGAATTTGGTAAATTAGACAAACTACCCAGAGAATTCTGAGGCCACAAAACTTTTCATTCATGAACACACAGTTCTGAAATCACTATATCTTCAGTTTATTTATTTCAAAATAAATTCAACACATTTAGACAGGTAAAAAGTTTTTTTTTATATATTATTGTGTATTATTTCTCTGCGTATTAACTACATGCACATCTAAATTACACTTACAGCTGCTGTGTACGGCGTTTTGGCTATTGTGTTTGTCTTTCTGGTTTCACAATTTGGGACATTGATAACTTTATCAGTCGGGTTATCTGGATTATTACTTGCGCCTGTTCTTGGTGTATTCACGCTTGGACTGTTTTTTCCATGTGCCAATTCTAAGGTAAGTTTTTTAATTCTGTATACGAATCAAATGTTCACAATTGTGTTATACAATTAAATTATTATGAACAATTCAAGTGTCATGTATTTGTTATCCCCCACCAGGGTGCTTTCATTGGATTAATGTCAGGATTAGGTGTCAGTGCAATGATTTTCGTTGGCAACTTATTCTATAAATATCGTCCTCCACCTCTGCCGATGTCAATTGCTGGTTGTATCGAGCCCAATGCCACTGTGACGAATACAACTCTGGCGTACATAACAGAACTGGTGGAAACTGTCACCATCTATGAAAATTTGAGTACATTACCATCAACACCACAGACTGAGTAAGTTTGATTGTTACGTTGTGATTATTATTATTATTAAATATTCCTGGTATACCAAAATGTACTGATTAGTGTTAGGGAATCTGTAAATGATTAAGCATCATACATTGAACAGCGAATGGCGACAACGAATCACTGGTGAATCGGATATTTAATGTCGCGTTATATCTACGCAGATCATATGGATTTAAAGATTTTATGAAAATATCCTATCTCTGGTATGGATTATTGGAAACCTCAACAGTGCTGATTGTTGGACTTCTTGTGAGCTTTTTGACAGGTGATAATATTGGTGTGACAATTTATTTAATATCTTTAACATATTCCCAAACAATTCGTGGTTTCCACACATGATTAAGCATGCCAACGCGTGTTTTGCGTATTGCTTGGAATTGACGATACAGTCGCTCCGACACTGGGAATTACATACCTGTATTCTGTACACGACACTTAGATTTCGTATTAAATATATTGCAGGATATACACGGCCAAAAGATGTGGACCCGCGTCTTCTATCTCCGCTGTACACCAAGTACAGTGGATGTTGTCCCTCATTCTGTTGCCTACCAATAACCAGACATACAGAAGTAAGTAACGTGTTATTGTTATAGCTACAATTCATGCACCATTCAGTGGGCGATCGTTAGAAACTAATAATAAAACACATTTGATAAAGATACACCGACCCATCTGTTTTACAGTAACGTCACCATGAATATCAATCTAGTTGAAAAGGAAGCGAACAATATTTACCATATTTATTTTTCCTCTGACAACATAATACCTTCCATCGAGTAACATTGAACATGTAATATTTCTATACATATGTTGTAATTCATTTCTTATTCTACGTTTAGGATAATATGCATCAAGATGAAGGTGCCATAGAGTTGCATAGGTATAAAGATAGTCGGTATATACATGTGGCGAATAAAGACATGTGACCTACATTACTTGAAGCATCTACATTCAGTGTTAAACTGCAGTTTAGTATAACTGTGGTGACTATGTTTACGATAATTGTTTTAACTGGTGTATTTTCTAAGTACTCGTATGTTAACTCGCATATTTACTATTCAGGATATAACACTGTCATCTAGCGATATTGTGTTCTTTTGTACATTTATATTATAGTATGTCAGCAATTTACAAAACATATTAATTTCACGATTATATGTTATTTTGTGAAAAGTGGATAATGTTAGTTATTCTATTTTATGTCAGAGTAAATGTGTTCGAACATAGAATATTGGCTTAAATAACACAGTGTCGAACATATTGTATTTGTAGTTTTATAGCGATCATCGCATAATTAATATACATGCTCATGGTAAACACTTCGCTGTACAACCTAATACGGCAAAAACATGCGATTTCCATACTTATGTGGGCGCTTTATGTATTGACCCCTGTCCACCTCTACTACCTTATGTATTATCACATCTTTAACCATTTGAAATTGATCTAAATGAATTGATAAGAGACACAATCTGCCCAAGACGAATACTTCTTTGGGAGAATCGTATTATACATATTATTTTCATTTTGTGATACATACATTATATTGTTGAATGGAGAATTAAAACATCAGGCAATGTGTTTTGGTGCCAATGTTAATTAAATAACAATGTCCATATTTATAAGCTATTAATTTCCAATGGTATAAGCTCCAAAATACAATTGTTTTATGCACTTTCAAAACTACGATGAATCGAGTCATACATTATAAGCAAAATGGTAAAACTTGTCTTCGTAGAATAAAATAGGCATCCTTATATAAAATGCTCATAAATGTCCTAATTATTTAACCTAGATTCACAATGTATCTGCTCGAATATAAAAACTATTCGTGGCATGAAATACTGAAATTGTTAAGATTATCCTAAAAACAGGAATACTCTAAATAACAAGATAATTTAAAATTGATCTGCAATTTTGCCATTTCTCTAAAAAATACTAATCATTATCATATAAGAACATATACATCATCTTAAAGCTTGGATTTAGATGTATGTGATGTAACATTGTTTGCCTAAGAGATTGCTTGACGACCATTTTTTCTATTGCCGGTCTATTTAGATTATTAAAAATACATACGTTTGTAACGATGTAGCTGTTGACAAATTAACTACATACAATAAAAAAAATTATAGATAAAACAACAGGGATGCAGGGTTTTTTTGTACATTGTTACGACAAACTGCTCACAAAAACAATACTCCAAAATGAATAAACAAACATTCAGTGGATATGCGTATGGTAAATGAGTATTTATCCATCTAAGAACGTGGGGGGGGGGTAATAAAATCCAATTAGTATTTCCCCCATGTTGCAAAAGGAGCTAAGTGTTAATAAAGAGGTGCATAGTAGAGAAACAAATTAACTTTGTTTACATTCTATTATAAGTGTCCCAACACATATGTTTATCTGAGCACTGATGAGGATGAATTTAATAGTACCCAAGTAGTTGATTCATCAAGAATATGTCAGTGATTTCGTAAAGTGTTCTCCTAATGTCACAAAAGGAATTACATTTATAGAAATCTATCCAAATTACACATATATCATGTACCAAATCAATCGGAGTAGAGGTTTTCAAATAGAAGTCAAATAACAAATATATTAGCTAAAACTAGAGAAATTATGATAACATCATGAAATGAACAAATATGATGCTCAAGGTACCAAGTACATACCAAGTATCAAAGCAATTGAGCTGATATGGTACTTGTCAGGAAAAAGTTAAAAATAGTATTTTTACCAAGACTTAAAATAATAAAATATCTCTTCATATATTATGCGATGACTGCATACTGTGCATAATTAATCATGATTCGATCACTTAGCACCGTGAAGAAAACTTTGAGCCAAAACCAAATGTAGCCAGGCTGAATCTGGTGTGGTATAACTTGAGTAACTCGGTTGGAATAACTTCAGGGGTTCCTGCAATATCCCAAGCAGAGCTCTATGTTTAGGTCACAAACTGACACGCTCTTTATACATGGTTTTGAAGTCACGAGCGCGGAGAGTGTGATTTTATAACCAGCTTCTAACATGGCAACAATTTGCAACAATTTATTCAATTTTATTTTTGTTTTGCGCGGCATAGTCAATCAAGATCAGCTGAAAAAGCCATGCTCTAACTAACTTCTCTTAATTTATACTGAGAATATAAATCTGGTGTGAATCTGGCGATGTGGCATTTTCGTTTTTACTGAAGTCTGACATTAATAAATGGTTCGGATGACACATATGTTTTTTCAACTTTTTGTAGTTAGGTTTCAAATGAAACAACTGCGGAAAAGTGGTCGTGCGTAGTGAGGTGATTGACCACAAAATTGAAGGTTGTCTGTGGCAGAGGTACTAAAGCGCACTAAAGACCTGTGGGAAGGAGATTGAGTGGTACTACTTCCAAAGACGCCCGGCAAAACATTGCCATGCAGGTGTTCGATTTTCGAACCCGGCGAAAGCGTAAGCGTTGTTAGTAAATTCTGGCTGTTTTCAAACTGAGAAACTTTCTGTGACACAAACGGTGCGACAGTAGGACGATTTAGCCGTCAATACCCCTAAGTGCTTTTATTTCTTTATATTTCTTCGTCTGGCAATCAACAGGACGGTCAGTTTGATGAACTGAGTAACACCTTAATGGTCGTTATGGAATTATTTTCTTTTGTAAATTATAACTATTTCACCCTTTACAGTGTATTTACGGAAAAATCTTCATCAGCTATGGATGAAATATTTTAAAACTTGTGTTCCAGTAGGAATAAATCAACACGAGAGCCATATAATAAACAAAAATACGCAAATGATACAAGTAGTAAAAGTCATGTGGTGTTACACCATAAAATGGCGGTGTGTGGTGGCAGAGATACTTTCGGTGATCTAACTGCAAGGAACTCTGGGAAGGAACATTGGGTTAGTAGTTTACGTTCCACTACAGGTACGACCATGAGGGCGCTGTTCATATTTGGATGGAATGACTTCATACTGGGTTGGATGACGTCCCAATGGGGGATTGTGCATAAAAGAGCATAAATGATGACGTCACAATGCAATTAAATATTTACATGAAGTATACGTTTATGGGGTAGTTGAGTATTTTTATTTAACGCCACGAAAAAAACAAAATGGAAAATAGTTGCGTAGTGTGTAAATATTTAGCGTGATTAAATATTTCGTTGTTAACACCTCAAAAATACGTACATAACGTGTAAATGTATGGCGTGGTTAAATTTATTTTTAACGCCACGAAAAACACTAGTACATAAACGATTCGATTAAAAACATAGAAAAGATAAAAGTCAATAATAATAAACAGTGATAAATAAAAAATAATTCATTCTATATATGAATAGTTTGTTGATTTTTTATATTTCTTACTTCATTCCAATGAGTTAAGCAGTCTGTACTCGTTTTATTCCATCACTCTAATCAGAATCGCTCATCTTTTGTACTAGAAAAAAAGAGAGAGAATAATTTTAAAAACCGATAGTTATATGAAGAGGGTATAAGTTATATGTTGGAAATTTAGAAGTATGAGTCACCTGGTAAAACTGCGATCATAAAAGGATGGATTGAATCCGATAAAATTTGAAGTATGCAAAGCATGCAAATTGTGGTTGATCGACATCTGGGCGTTTTTCTTTTTTCAAAAATGGCGAACTACGGTATGATGAGTTAAAATATTAAATGCTATATATTTACCTGATCGTTTCACAGAATAACATAAATAATCACACAAAATGAGTTTTCAGGGTAACGTAACGATAAATGAAATAAAACACGTATGGACATACATTCAATCCTGTCGTTTTTTTTGGTTTGACAATGAAAACAAGGTTTCCAAAGAATCAGGTTCCATAATGCCAGAACTCCTGCCAAAATAATGCTATGATTATACTCGAAATTTACTATATGGGGGATAAACACTGGGTCAACTTGATTCGGTCAACATGAATCTGTCCCAGGCGGTGTGGTTCCTGTCCATCACCAATTCACTTCTCTGAAAAGACAAGGCACCCCCCCCCCAGAGTGTATGGCAATCCACATCGACCATAGAAATGCTACATTGTTTTACTCATTACAGTAGCGTTATGGCCCTATGATACATCCTTTGATCTATATGAAGAGATTGAACTTTATACCCGTTAATTTTGATTAGCGCTTCTTCTAGTCACTTTTAATGACCCGTGAAACAGTGACGTCTTGTGTGGTTATATAGTATCTTCACATATGCGCTAACGGTTTCTTTGACCTGACACCATTCCGCCACTCTGATCGTTTCTATATCATCGGTAATTCAGTGTACCACTCAAACGCAATGCATCAACCTACAGTTTATTTTTGAAGGTTTATTTCGCAACGACTTGAAAACCGACCGAAAATCGCAAAATGTTATAGTTCAATCTTTACTCAGCCAACCATCAAGAATATTCAATTCATTTTCCCCTCACTATTGAAATAGCAGTACTCAGCAAACTATCATTTATCGTTTTTTTTAACATGATTTCAAATATTACGATTTCGAAATTCTAGAAGAGGCAAGAACGAACATTACATTTGAACGGTCGATGCTTCAAATGCTTCGAAAAACGAGTTTCTCTTCCAATGGCTCGAAACCAAATTAGATAAAGCACTATGATTCTTCATAAATTACACTGACATCCTTTGCAGCCTAGCAAAAGAAATCACTCAACTAACCTCACCACCAGATTCGAATTTCCATGATCTACGACAAGAACGAAACACCTTAGGCGATCTCCTTTCGGAGGTAACGGGGTTCCTGCACAATGGAGTAGATTCATTTTCATAGCCGATTTGTTGCACATATGATATGGCCGTCTATTAGAATCAGAGTAATCAGTGTTATAATCGGATGAAGTATAATGTCTTTTAAATGGTGATGAATCAGAAGTAAAATTAGGCAGACGGTTTTCATAGA